GGGCGCGGCGGGCGGTCTGTTCGCCCCGCTGGCCCCGCCGCGCCCCATCATGGCGCCGCCGCTCGCACGTACGTTGCCTACTTTTTTTGAATATGGAATGCCATGAGACCAGCAGCCAGGGCCGTGCACAGAGATTTGAAGTAGAGTCTGACTACCCAGGCAGAAGAAGAAGTGTGTACTGTACTGTACTGTACTCCTAATCCCCAAAAGGCCGGTAACGCACTTGTAACGCCTCTGGTGTTCCAGGTGACCACGGGCGACGCCGATTGCTTACCACCAGGTGATCCGTCTACTAGTTTACCGGCTTATGCCATAAAAAAAAAAAATTATAAGCACAGGTTTCCTCACGATGTTTTCCTTCACCGTTTGTCAGTGGTGTATGATAATCTTCGAAAGTACATATACTCAGAAAAAGTCACATTGGTACTTGCCGTTGGTAGGTTTCAAACTCGCATCCTCATGCATGAGAAGTGGGCGGGCCACCCCGACACCACGGCGCCTGTCAAATCGTATAGTTTTTACTAATTATTTGGTCCGTTTAATGTCTTTTTATATTTATATTAAACAAATAATTACTTATTATGAACAAACTTTTTAAATTTGTGTCAAATACCTCATTGGACGTCATTCCTGCCACGAGAGAGACCAGAAGCAACAGGTCGTGTGTGAACTTTCAATCTGGTATCTGTGCCCCTTGTGGTAGACGATATAACTCGCTCCAGTGGCGTCACTATATCTATAGAGGCGAGTTATATAAGTGGGAGAGCAATGCTTCGGCACGAACGGGCGTGCTCGACCGGAGTGACATCACGACCTCAACCATAAACCGACGTGAAACAACGAACAACGCTGTGTATTGTCATGTGAGTGAGTTACCGGAGGTCTATTTACCTCTCTCCCCAATCCTTAAATTCCTAATCTCCAAAAGTCTGGTGACGCACTTGTAACGTCTCTGGTGTTCTGGGTGTCCATGGGCGACGCCGATTGTTTACCCAGGTGAGGTGGTTTACCGGCTTATGCCATAAAAAAAAGAGTTAGCTACACCGTGGTCTTTGCGTGCAGGAGATCTGGCGGGAGCGTTCCCGCCCCCGCCGCCCCCCCCTCCG